GCATTTAAAAAAATAGCTGCAAAAACTTTGTTGTTTGCCAAACTGAGTTACTTTTTTGAAGAAGTAACTATATAATTAATTGCCCAACATTGGTCATCATATACTGTATTTTGCAGACAGAGAGTTACAGGACTCTCTCCCAGACCACAGACTCATACTCATAATACAAGTCAGAGCTTTATAAAAAAAAAATTATAAAAAAAAGTAAGTTGTGTTTTTACTTCCAATAGTGTTAACATACTACACAGTTCATGAACAAGATTTATTTATTAATTTTTATTGTAAGTGGGCTAAAGCAGTTAATTAAAAGTAGTCTAACATAAATGTAAGTGCACACGTCTGATGTCGCTCACATTGGTCAAAGGGATCGCTCAGGGAGTTTGTGTGTTCGCTCAGACACGTGAAAAATTAGAGGGAACATTGCTCGTTAGTTACTTTTTTCCCCAAAGGTTTTAGAAAAATCCAGTTTTTGTTTTCTAAGCAGGACACTTCTTTCTGTGCATAGAGAGTTTTAAGGTTTTGAAAAGAACTTATGAAGTGTGACATTAATGCACGTAAATGTAAAACAATTTTTTCCTGCACCTCTCCATCATTCTGTTCATTTAGGGCCGTCTGCTGGTGAAAACTGGGCGTGTCCACCTAGGCGAGAAGGTTCTGCGTGATGCGGTTCAGATCCACAGCACCTCCCACGAAGCGTGGAGTGGACTGGGTGAAGCTCTTCAGTCTCGGGATTGCAACCAGGCCCCCGACTGCTTCTTGACAGCCCTGGAGTTGGAGGCCTCCAGTCCCGTCCGTCCCTTCACTGTCATCCCCAGAGAGCTCTGAGATGACGGCCTTGCAGTGGCATGGAGGTTTGGGTTGGGGTGAAGATTTTGGCTAAAATCTAATGATGAGCTGACGAAAAGACAATGGAAACATGAGCTTTAAATCAAAAGTTAGTTTTGGGTATTGGGTCTGTTTTCTTGCTGTTGGGGAGAACAGACTGGTATCACTCATGTATTTACAATATTTGAAGACAAAATAAAATAAAATAGTATCTATTTCCCCAACTAGTTGGCAAGTGGTTGCTGTAAGTGGCTGGTGGTTGCAAGCATCTAATTTGATTCAAAGAGGTAAATTATGCAGCATGGAAGACCTTGATTTGACTGATTTGGTTGCTACCAGGTTGCCACAGTCAGGTTTGTAGTTTGAAAACTTGTCTGCAAACACTTGCCGAGTGGAAGTGAAACTGAAAAGTTCAACACAAATAAGAAGATCGAGACTGCCCGAAGTCGAAGTAAAAGTTGTGTCTTTCATGCAAATTACAAACAACCCGGACAAGATAATGATGACAATCAGGTTTTTGGTGCAGCAGCCTCCAGCAGCCACTTGCCAACTGGGGCTTTGCAGGACTATGTTAATTATCAATTGTGGGAAAGGTAAGACTTTTTTCAACCAAAAGAAAAAACCAAGTTGACCAAGTAAGTGCACTTGGTCTGGAGAATTCCCAGTTAACCAAAAAAAAAAAAAAAGAAAGACCTCCAGCATAACCAGTCTCAGGAAGGGTGCTTCCATCCCTGTGTGCTGCAGTGTGCTGCAGGTCACTAAATTGAAGACATAAGTTTTCATTTTCTGAAAAATATTTATTTTTATTTATTTTGCTGTTTTGGACTGAACTAGGTGAGCTGTCTCCTCGTGTTTCATATTTTTCTTAAGCGTGACTTCAGGTTTAAGGGACAGAGGTTTGAGTGGTATTTATTTACTCATCTAACTCTAAGTTTGTTTTCCAAAATTTTAGCCATTCCTTCATCAAGTATATTTTAAAGAACAAACCGTTTAACAAATCACTTTTACCTCAACTTGAAAAAGTAATTAATCTCAGCAACTTTCTTTGTTTCTTTGATAATCCAATTGTTCAGTCTGACGTCACTAGCCGTGTCTGGGCCTAAACTCCGCTGCAGGTCCATATATCAAACGATCACTGTGGCATTACTGAGAGTTGAAAAACTGTCTAAAGTCTTTCATCTTTAATAAAATGATCAGCGTTCTGCTCTACCAGGTGTAACAATTGAGTTTAACATCCAGGCATCCATGAAAACGGAATTTATGACATTTAACGGAGTTAGAAGTTAGCAGGGAGTTAGCTCGCTAGCTTCTATCTAAATACAATATAGCATGTCCTGACTGCGGGGTTTTGGAAACAAATTAAAACGTACAGCTCTGCTATCACTTCCAGCATAAATGAAGACAGAAAACTAAACAGCAGTGACGTTTGTAGGGTTACTGAAGTTGGGCTAGCTGGTATATAATGATGTGCTACGTGACCGCTAGCGACACAGCTAGGTTAGCATAATATAAACAAGCTAACTTTTTTTCCCACTCGATAAAAGTTAACGTGAGTGTTCTCGGTGGTCAGGAACAAATGTAATCGCATGGCAGGATGCTGTAAAAGGACCAAACTTCAGCCAGGAGAACAACTGAGATAATCCATCCACAATACGAGGTTAGTCATTCATATACTGCTGCATGGGCTGGGCTGTAGTTACATCCTAAGGTTTTAAAAACTGAGCTTAAATAAATGATTAGTGGTAATAAAAGCCGAGGGAGGTCAACAGTGATCACTGACTGTTTTAGGAGCTTTTTGAGATCAAATAGAAGAAAATACATAACATTAAACATGTTAACAACACAAAAGCCATATTAAACGCAGACTACTTTAGGCCCGGAAGTAGGATTCGTCGCATCATCACTGAACAACCGGATTATCAGTTTAATAGCTCCATAGTGTTAGAAGCTAGCAATGTGAACATTGCTAGCTTCTAACACCACCAATTGTATTAATGCAGTTTGTGCGGATAAAGAAAGAGAGGGCTTTAGTTCTTTGCATATAAAAAACGGCTGTATAGAAAGTTAATATTTTAGCATAAGTAGCGTTCTGTTGTAAATCACCTATGGAGTCTATGGAGGGATATTTTTAATGATCGCAATCACCGGGTTCATAAATTCAGAGATGTGCCAGTTACATCTTGACATAAAAAGCATGTTGTTGTGTTCTGATACATGTGGCAGTGCAGATAGGTGGATATTGTACATGCTGTTTATCACAGCAGCAGCTCCACTTCATTATTATTTGGACCTTTGATGTATTTTTGATGATGGCCTTGACTGGTGTAGCTTTTTATGCACGCATGCAGGCACAAACACTCCCTCCTGCTCATCTTCAAAAGAACCAGCATGAACACGTCATTCCATATGGCATCATTATATGTGTGTACATGATGTATTTTAATACATGTGTATCTGCTCCCTCTGAATGATCCCTCTGGGATGTTAGCAATCTTCTGTTTGTACGGTACAGTAGGCCCTCATCCATACACATATGCATGGGTGTGTGTGTGTGTGTGTTTTGGGGGGTGGGGGTGGGGGTGGGAGTGGGGGGGGTGCTTGACTCATCTGTTCATAATGCCGTCCATTATAAACAACAATGGCTTTTAAAAATCACTGCTGGATTTTGTATCTTCACCTGCCTTGTCACTTGTGACTAATGGGCATCACTTCCGAGTGCCTAACCACATAAATGTGAGCAGTGGGACTGGGCTGCTGGCTTATGTAATACTGCCAGCACAGTTTTCTGCCTCCAAACTCCCTCCTCCTTTCCCTCCCTCTTTCTATTGCTCTCTCTTGCTCTCTCTCGCTCCCGCTAACCCTCTATGTCTCTTGCCCTCTCCCAGCTTGGCTGATGTGATGTGATGTGGCTTCGTTGCCTAGCAGCCATCCCCTTGTTTGAGTAACTGGGGAAGTGGAGAGAGATCTGGTCCTCTGAACAGCATACATATACAGTGGGAAGACACAAACAGTCACTACACACACACACACATACACGACGTGTGGTTTTACAAGTTTGACAGTGTCTGTTTGATGTCTGCTGCTACCATGTGAGGAATGAACCAGCTATAATCAATGTCTCAGGCTGGTGTAAATTGATTTGTGTTATGGGAAGAGTCCCTGGCTTTGCTTTTAGAGAAAAAAAAAAGCCGTCTGTTTTTCTCCCTCCCTGCAGCGTTGCAAGCACCAATCTCTACCTTCCCTGTATTCTTTTTTTTTTAAAAGAACCGCCCACGCCCCGATCGCTCTTGGCATGAAAATCCCTCATTCATCAATACTTCGATTTTTGGACATGGAGGTTATCTATCACTATCGCCTCTTTTCTGCCATCGGAATAGTCTATTTTTACTCTTTCTCCCTCCTCACTCACCGACTCTCCCTTGTTCCGTCCTCTCCTCATTAGCACCGTGTGAGACACCTACACAGGGGCTTCGGGAGATGAATGGTCTAATCCTCAAGGGGAAGGAGTGAAGTATTACATGGTGCACAAAGATACACACATACTCTGACAATGAGAGACATGCGATGAAGTCATTTTGAGGTACAGCACAAGTATATATGCTTAAACATATAGTATACACACACATGTACACACATTCATACTTACACTGTCACTGTGATGCCACCCATGCACATCACTCTGGTGTCACTTTCATACCTGAGCAACACACCCTCCACACCTCATGATAAACAAATGTACATGAACCGCGGTGACCGTTTTGGGGGAGGTTTCTATGCAAGCGTGGTATTCAGGTCATCAACGTGGATGCCAACCCGGCAGGGGCACATGGAGGGCACGGGCTGGGCGGTGCTGCTGCTGCGGGGCGCCAACAAGGAAACCGTAAACCATCACTGTGATGACCAAACAAGGCTGGGGAGTCATGGATGGGTGAGGGGTGTGATGGAGGTTATAAGGATCAGATGTGGTTTCATAATCTCATTTATTAATAAAATGACAGATGCGTCGGAGTTGATCCCCAAGGGGAAAATGTGTTCGAGCATTTTCAGTGTTCACGCGTTGACATAAGAATGTATTCAAAATGCTGTAAAAATCATTTGTAAAATAAAAATGAAAATGTTTTGATGATTGAGATGAATTTTCAGTTAAAAAACACTAACAAAAAACCTCAATAAATGTTTGCCTGTAGTTTTACTATGAGTTACACTATGGTGCTGTTAATAGCTTCAAATTAGCATCTGCCTGAATCAATATACTTTTGGCTATAATGAAAATGTATCATCATAAAATCCACAAGTGTCATTTTCAAAGGTTGGCTAAAAGGCAAGGCAAGTTTATTTGTATAGCACAATTTAACAACAAGGTGATTCAAAGTGCTTTACAGAGACATTAGAAACACAAACAAATAAAAATCATGATTTAAAATTTATTAAAACAAGCAAACAAACTAACTAACTAATTAACAAACAAACAAACAAAACAGTATATAAAATCAAAACAGATAAAATCAGAACAGTAGATAAAATCAGTAGTTAAAATGTAAGTTTTGAAATTTAAGCTTAAGTGCGGATTTGGTGCTTTATTCAAATACAGCTGAGAACAGGAGAGTCTTCAACCTGGATTTAAATAAACTGAGTGTTTCAGCTGATCTGAGGCTTTCTGGGAGTTTGTTCCAGATATAAGGAGCATAAAAGCTGAATGCAGCTTCTCCGTGTCTGGTTCTGACTCTGGGAACTGATAAAAGACCGGATCCAGATGACCTGAGGGATCTGGAAGGTTCATACTGGGTCAGGAGGTCACTGATGTATTTTGGTCCTAAACCATTCAGAGCTTTATAGACCAGCATCAGAACTTTAAAGTCTATCCTCTGACGGACAGGCAGCCAGTGTAAAGACCTCAGAGCTGGACTGATGTGGTCCACTTTTTTGGACTTAGTGAGGTCTTAAAAGACATATCTAACATATCTAACATTTTTTCTCATGACTGCGTGCTTTCTGCAGACTTACTGTACTAGCTAGTAGGCAGTTAGCTTGACCTAGCATAAAGTTTAAGCTAATAGAGGAAAAGGATTTTTTTTCTAAAGGTAAGTAAATCTGTTTACTGTAACTTCAAAAGGTCGATATTTAACACAATGTGTAAAGTCCAAAGTTGTGGAATTTATGCCATTTTTTTTAATAATGCAAAATAGATTTTTGTACTAAGCTATGCTAGCCTTAAATTTACATTTAACAAACAGATATCAGAGCTATATTTACTTTAGTGCCATTCCACAATTCTGACTCTTATGTTACAATTCCCAGTGTTACAGCCTGACAAAAAGTGTTTACAGGTTGGTATACAAGACATTTTTTGCCACTGCTGATAGACGGATGCCAACACTGTTAGCTAGCTATGGATACAAGTTGCTAACCTTTCTAGTATTATTAACCTAGCACCTTCCTGTGTGAATAAGGTGAGTTGCAGCTCTGAAAGAATCTACATGCACCATCTAAAATCCTTTGCCAGACACTAGAATATCTGATATACCTGCTTATTGATATAAAATAGGTGTTATATTACTCTCACATTGTTGCCATCCTGCTGCCAGCCTCCTTTTTTGGACATGCTCTGGCACTCATTTTTATGAGGCTGAAATTTTCAAGCAAGCAGGCCCAATAACGCCACAGTAAACAGCAGCCTGGCCAGCAGTTTGTTGTCTTCCATCAATCGCCAGATCCAAAACTTGATAGCCCTCCAGCGCTGTTGGTCCACGTTCCACACACTGTGCGCCAGCGCCAGCACCATTACCCACTTAAACAATGACCCCCTTGTTCACTAACAGTCGCTCATTGGAGCTGATTAAATTTTTAAATGTCATTTAATAGAAGTGTAATGTACCTCCTTTGTGTCTGTCAGCAGCTTGAGATGGGCGGTGAAAGGATACCTGGTTAACCTCCCGGTGTCGGACCGCCTGCTAAATTCCTTGGTCGTCACCCTTAGTGTAGGGCTGTAGTGTTGAAAGTGAATGAGCCTGAAGCCCTCTGAACATAAACCTGCAAATCTCTTTGTCTATCCCCACTCCTGGTGTTTCAAGGTGATGTGTTATACAGATGGAGCAAGATGGAGCTAGTACTGCAGGGCCATTTTAACTCAACACAATGTCAGTGAATAAACAATGGCTGCACTGTTAAAGGGTTTATTTGTTTGGAGAACTTTAGCTGGGACTTAACAAACCAATAAGAAGTCCCACACCAGTGCTGGATTAGAGTATTTTTAAGTAACCTCACATTCTTTGAAAATTCCAGCGGTCTGCCTTCGTCATCGCTCCGAAGCTGGGTCACATTTTCTCAGCATGTTGTTTGGTGTTAGCTGTTAATTTGACATCCTCAACTCTGGCCCAACGGTGGAGCTGAGTAGCACGGTCAAATCTTGCTGTAAGCTGCCAAAAACACAGATTTATTCCAGACGTTCAGTGATGCGCTGCATTGCTTCCTGAACGGCGACCGGATCTCATTAAGCTGTTCCCAGAAAGAGGAGTCGATGTTTGGGCTGCTTGTACGACTTACCCTGGCACCAGATGTTCTTGTACCCATTAAATGAGAGAATTCCACTGTGCCAGCGCAACTGAAATCATGCTTAAAACACCTTTGCCGCCACATGAAAAACTAGCAGAGGTAAGAAACAAAAAGACGGACAATGTGTTACTTTGATGTTTGTACTCATCATAGATTAAGAAAAATTGATATGTTGGATTATGTTGATTCCCCACGGAGCCTTTAAGAAATGAGTGTGTGTGCACGTGCTCACAGGTTTGCGCATCAGTTTGCAAAGCGCATTTTTAAAAAGCAAAAGATCACAAGCGCGTGTGCATTCGCTGCATTGCATGGATGTGCAAGTGTTTATTTTAATGCACCGTGCATCTACGAGGGTGAGCTTGATTGACAACAGAGGAGCGGGTGCCTGGCTGTGCCTGTGGTCAAGGCAGGCTGTGGGAGGTGGAGGGTGTTAAGTCATCAGTATGAGGCATATGTCAGAGATCAGTGCTGTACTGCGGAGATCATTTAGATGAGAAGGGAGGAAGGGCACCAGGGGTTGACGGAGTCAGAGATTACTGGCGGCTTGGTGCCTTGACCGCAGGCCATTCTGGCTGTTTGTTACACACAAACACGCACACATATCTCTCCTACTGTATCTTCCTTGCAAGTGCTGACCGTGGAGATCCAGCTCTCCAGAGAGTGTATGCAAAGCCCCGTGTTAATAAGATTGCCTTCCACTCTGAGTGGTAGTGTATCCTCTTTTGTCTCTGGAATAATGACAGGGGGAATAAGAGACTGGCCCTTCAACCTCATCAAGCTTTTAAGTGTCAGCAACTGAAGGAAAACAGAGTGTGTGTGTGTGTGTGTGTGTGGGAGGGCTTTAACTGTTGTCTAAGTAGATGTGCTATGATAGTGCTGCACAAGACTTCCATGACCACCGTCCCAAATAGTCATGTCAAGACATAAAACATTCAGCCAGATGCCTCAGAAGTAGCTCGTAACCTCTTCCACAGCAGCTGGCTGAATTGTCAGTGGTGTTTTTTGTTACCTCGCAGATGTTTATTGTCTGCTTGGAATGATAATGTGAAAAATCACTGTGGAAATCCTCCATTTTAACACACTGAACCAGACCTAGTGAATTAGTCCCACTTCATGGACTACAGCAGTGAAAGATGCATTTAAATGGGTGTTTTTCTATAATCATTCGGTCGTTCGGTAAAACAATAAGCTGTAAATGCAACGCTTAGATACAATCAGCTGTACTAAATTGAAATTGTAAGTTCAATTCAATTCAGTTTTATTTGCAAAGAGCAAATTCCCTGAATGAGCTCTGTATTGTAAAATAAAGACTCTACAATATTAGAGAGGGAATCCCAACAAGTACACGACCACTTATGAGCAAGCACTTAGTGACAGTGGGAAGGAAAAACTTCCTTTTAACAGGAAGAAACCTCCAGCAGATCGAGGCTCAGGCAGCGTCAGCCATCTGCCGTGACCAGTTGGTAAAAACAGGGATACCTATGAAACTCTAGTTGTCTGGACCAGCGGTCCCCAACCTTTTTTGCGCTACGGACCC